TTTCAGCAAGTGATTCTGTGAACAATTAAATACTGAAACTCTAACCATGTCTGAGTATGTGTTTTGTTGACCAAAAGACCTAGTAGCCACCAGCACATCAAGTGCCTTTATGTGCCCTCAGAACTCTTAAAAAAAAGGTCAGCAAGGCATGCAGTATCTCAGAGCAGTCACCATCGATGTTTATCCCTATTGAAGGGGAGGGAGAGGGATACAGATGATACCAAATCAATAACAGCAATTTTGGGCCTTTGGAGGGTAACTTGCCATTTAGGTCACTAACAATAAAAGTTTATTGGAAATAAAAATACAGGAATGAAATGAAATGGACTTTTAGTGGAGAAAACGAGAGAAAAATGAAGACAAGAAGGAATTCAATATGAAGTATTGCAGATGTCACAAGCAGCATGAGAGCCGGGTCTGTAACCTGTCTGCCAGAATTAGATAAGCTGCTCTTGTGAACACCCCAAGTGCTATATATTAAAGGAAAAGCATGACATTAGCAGTATCTCTGTGACTGTGCTGCTGATATATTTCTGAAAGGATTTGATTTTGCTACTTTACTCCTCTTTGCAAAGCAGATGGATTCATGCTTTTCCTTTCTCCAAGGAGTGTGCTGTGGAGAGTACCAGTCTCATGGAGCATCTCCCTTACCATTTCTTTCCCACTTCCTTTTCAGAAAACTACTCCATTTCCCTAAACAGTGAAAAGCTGCTGAGATCCCCCATGCAGAGGAAGTGTTAGGAGGGAATTATGGTAGTGTTAATACCTAGTTATCCAGAAGAGCTACTCACCCAGAAGTCATCTGGAAGCTGGGAACTGTTTATGAACATTTGGAAACGGGGACTTGCTGCTTCTGTTTGAATATCTGAAGAGGTTGGAAAAGAATTCTAGTGATTTCCTGTCTCTCCATTTGTCCCTTTGTGTTCCTATGAAACTGGACTTCTATTTATATTGATTTCCTTCTGAAATGGTCACGTAAGTGACACTCTTCACCTCAAGGCCATAAAACTGACAGACCAGACTCCCTCCTTTTGCCTGCCCTTGGTTGTCCTTCTTGGAGCTGTATATTAGGCATTGCAATAGCATGCCACAGCACACTCAGGTAGCCCAGACTCCCCATTGGACAGTTTTGAGTGCACAGGAAGAGGAGCAGCTCCTTTGTCGTTTGTAAGTTAGCATGGATGGACAGGACAGAGAGCGTATGGCAGAAGAGCTGGTCTGTCTGGTGCTGGCAGTGGCTCTGTTGGTAAAGGTACTGCAACTGTTTGTTAATAAATGCTCTTTGAATCTTTGCATGCCACTACCCATAATCCCAAGCACAGGGCCACTCACACATCTGACAAAAGAGTTTTGTCTCCATCCTGTGCCAGGAGGCACAAAGTGAATCACCTTCATGTTCTTACTCACAGTGTTGTCTAATTTTTATGGTTCTTGTAATCTGCTCAGAGTTTAAGTTGGTTACGTTTAAGTGCACCCTAAAAAGTGAAACCTTTACCTCTGCTTGCAGGATGTAACTGCTTCAAATTTATAGTCTAAGATAAAAAGTCCTCTCCCACTGAGCCCCTTCTAGAAGGTTGTTAAAATTAGTGCCAGTGTATCAAAAATCTATACATCTTTTACTAGTGAGCCATAACCTGTTCACTTGTGGGAAAATGAGCTTGCCAGTCTACTAAGGAGCTGATTTGCTAACTTCCCAGTGTTTGTGAGGTGTCTGCTCTTTGTTCCCACGTGGTTGTCATGATGGATGCTGTTCAATGCAGAAAAAACAATAATTTAGCACATACTGTAATACAGTACAGTAGCCCAAAGTACAATGACACTAGCTAGAAAGGAAAGAAATCTTTTAAACCAGAAAAAATTAGTTTCTGAATAAATTTGACAAAGTAATAACCTGGGGACACAGACAGTGCAATTAAATAATCTTTCTTTGGTCTTATATTTTCTCTGCAAAATAAGTAGAGGCAGAGGTGATGAAACAACCTGGAATAAGTAACTGATGGAGCAATGCAGCATGAAAAGGGCAGTAGTAAATTGCCTTGAAAAACTCAGCAGTTTTCCCAACAAAATCAATTAATCCCTGGGCTCCTAATGTACATATACACATATGCATTTTATATATGTGGTTTTTGAAGATATCTATACACTTCCATAAACATGAATATTATATTTAAGGTACTTTCTACAAAAATTCTTATGTTCTATTTGCTTCATGTCATTTCCATCTGAGTAAAGGTAATTGTTGAGAATGCTAAGACAATTTATGGGCACCTGTGGGCTCATAAATCTTATGTGCTTATCCTAGAGATGTATCTTCTATATATATAGTATATCAGGTGGTCTTTATCATCCATCACTGTACAATGTGTTTATGGTTAAAAAAAAAAAAAAAAGAGGTACCAAATCTGATCTTTGTCAAAGCAGACACTGGCCAGACCTGTAGTGATGGCAGCTGCTAGACGGTTCATTATAGAGGGTAGAATGGAGACGTGTAGTTTGTGAAAAAACTGACACTTCCTCAAGTTTCTCCCTTCCTATGGGTTTTTTTCAGGAGAAGGTCAAATTTCCATACTGAGGTCCCAGTTATGGGTACTAGACTAGAAAGCAGTTCATACTGTTTTGAGTTAGCAAAGCATTTCAGAATGTTAAAAGTGAACAGCAGTTGACAACAATGAATGTGCTTGGAGGAGAAATATTTGCATTTGGGGAAGAAGACTCAGAATGACGCTGTATTAGCAGCTAAGCTCAGGAGTAAAGTTGTGATGGTGCTGGCTGACTCTCCTCCATCTCAGACCTTGAGAGGTCCTCCTACTCAGGGTCTCTGCATGTACCCCAGCCACTATCCTTCACTCACTCTATCAGGACCAAAGAGCTAAACTGATGTAAACCCCCGAAATGCACAAACAATGGACACTGGGTCCTCAGCACCAGCTCCACAAACCTGTCCTTGCTGGGCTGCACTACTCAGTGATGCAGAGATAAATGACTGAGTTAGATACTGAATCATTAGGATGTTCAGCTCCCAAGTCTCTGCCTGTTTCAGAAGGTGCTTGGGGCAAGCACCTAACTCAGGCTTCTCAAACTTAACACTGGAAGTGGACAATGAAATGATACTGCTGTCTTCTTCCATCTATGTCTGATTACAAATGAGACTCCCACATGACTGAGAAGTCCTTTCTCCATTAATTAGCTAGATGAGTTGACCACAGTGAGTGGTTACACCGAATCTTTAAACCTCTTACAAATTCATGATATAAGCAGTCTCTATGCTTGGCCATTAATTTAAATACTCATGTAAAATCCAGGATTACTTGATGCTTTTCTCTCTTTCATGAAGGCTTATAATGACCTTAAAAGCATTAACTCAATATGAGGTCAAGGAATTATTTTAGCTGTGAAATCAGTTGCTTAATAACAGTTTCATCAGAGTCAAGAAATCATGCAGGCTGTAAGGCTGAAGTAATTATTTCATTTTTCTGCCTACATATTCATATTTAACTACTACTCTGCACAAATAGAGAAATGAGTTAACGAGAGATTTTCAGTACTTGGGTTTACAGTCTCCAAAACATACAGAGAAGCATGTATCTGCAAAATTAAACAGCTATTTCTGTAACTACTTAAGAAATCAAATGCTGTTTGAATGTCATACATCAGTATATCACCTCTTATATAGTACAAGCAGGATCTCACGCTGTTTTATCATTACTTATTTATGGCATCTCTCTGATTATATTGTAAGTCAATTAAACAAGTTTATAGGTTGCAGTAGGCAAAAGCAAATAAATTTGGGTTTAGCCATAATTTTCAATTGATAAAAAATTAGTATGATTATGAAATCATTATTTCCTGATAAAATATTAAATATTCATAAACAAAGTATTAGATTTTGATATCACTGCGATGCTGTCTTTTTTAGAGTCAGAAATATTTATCAATTGAAATAGGGCAATGCATGGGTAAAATGGTTTGAAAAATTGCAAACTTGACAGAGTGTGTTCCTGCTTCATAATAAACAATTGTTGAATGGTGTTTATTAAAATTGGCTCTCAAGTGACAGTTAATAAATGCATAGTTCTATTATGCATGCTAAATTCAGCATTCTGAAAACTTAAAAGCAAATAGATCAAAACCAACAGAGATAAAAAAAGTCACAAAGACAAAATACAGCAACATCAGAAAGTGACAGGGAAATAATTCAGTCTTAAAAATGACTTATTATTTGGTAACTTGTAACAACAATTTTATAGAACTGAAATAGAGGCAAATCAGAGTCTTTCTGATGTTTTAGATATGCAATTTCTCTAGTGCATATAGTTTGATCATACAGCAGAGAAATTCACATTAAGAAGTCCCCTTCAAAAAAGTACAAACCACAGTTACCCCCTGTTTCTGAATCCAGGTTATGAATAGTCATGGATAAGAAATGAAGGAAAAAAAAAAAAAAAAGAGCAATAAAATTTAGCTATCAATTTATCAATTTATTTTAATTAAAACCCTTCAAGATTTCTTCAGTATGTGGAGAAATTAGACTATAAGCAGTATGTTCTTATGTATGTTTCACATATACCCAGACCATATCTGCACTGAATTGCAAAAATACTGGATTTAATGGGCTTTGTGTCCTTTACTGCAGTCACTCCATTGGTTCTTTGATGCTGCATGGGGTTGGTGTGATGATGGAAAGAGTTGCTTCAACCATGTATTTTCACCTCTGTTTCTAAAAGGTGAAGGGCAAAACTTTAAATCAAGGAGCAGTTTATCTTTAATTAAGAAAAACATAATTAGGCATTATCACGTAATTGCTATTACTGATTGAGAAACTCATATTTTCACAACTAGTGACCCATGCTGTATTATGTCTCTGCTGTTTACTGCATAATAAATCTGTATTTGTGTTTGGCAGCTAGCCAGAAAAATTAAAAGGTAATCAACATGCTTCTCTGCAGTCTGGTCATCAAAATCTCTGACTTCACAGATCAGTAAATAACAAAGTCAAGTTGTGGTATCCTAACAGAAAACCTTCTTTATAACTATATTTATCTCCTCTGTCAAGACATCAAATGACACTTGAAACAACCATATACAAAAAGCTTTGCAAAAGAGATGAGAAGAACTGTGCTATACACCTGGTGTTGAGTTAAAAAACAGTTTAATGTCTCAAGGCACCACCACGGTAGAATTTTATACCTGCAAGTAATCATCTAATACACTATTATACAGTTAAGGTAATGTATTAATAAATAGCTTGTGCAATTTTGGGAAGCAATCTATAAAGGAATGTTAGATATACAATAGGCACGTACTATAATACAAATAAAAACCAAAATTCCTAGAAAAAGCATGCTGAGCACCTCTTGGCATAGGTTGAGTTTCTTATTCTAAACACTATGTAAATCTTAACTTACAAAAGGTAAAACTGAAATCTTAGAGTAACTGCTTATTTAAACTTATTTTCCTGGGTATTTTCCTCTATGACACAGGATTATTCTTAGGGACAGAGGACTCTGGTACTGGCTGTAAAGGGCTGTCTTGTTCATTCAGTTGTGCGTTCAAGTTTTCAGAAGTTAGAAGAGAAGAATTAAAAACTATTTCGCTTAAGTCTGATTTTATGGATACCAGGTGTGGTTCTTGAAAATTTAATGGTTCTTCTAACACCTGTGTATTTTCTCGTGTCATTCCCATATCTGATGGTGACTTTCGTTTCATTCTTGTGTATGATTTGTCTAAATTCTCCATGCCTTGGTCAGTTTTCTGAAATCGCCCAAAGAACCAGATGAAGAAACCAAACAAAGCAAAAGCCAGCAAACTTGGAATAAAAGCCAGGCATTTGACATCAAGGCTAGAGCCTGTGAACCTGCTGTGCAAGAACATGTCCCCTTCGGCATAGGTCCGGTTCGTCAGTGGGTTCGTGTTATTGGATCTCCACTCCCAAGATAACTTAGTTCTGTTGAGGTCTTTCAAGCTCTCCGAGTCCTTCACTGTGTAGATCTTCTGTCCAGGACCGATATATTGACCATATTCATGAGGTTTGTAAAATATTTGGTTCTTCCACATATTCAGATCCAAGATTAAAACAAGGAAGATAATTCCATAGTTAAACCATTTACCTGTTTGGAAAAAGAAAGTTCTGTCACCTGATATATCCATTTTAGAAGCAGTACAAATGCCATTATACATAAAAGATAATCAGAGAAAAAAAAAGGTTTTTTTTATTAATCTGTAAAGCAAAGTTATAAATAAATTTCCACCACAGTCAGATTTATGCTGAATATCCCTTAGTATTTCACAATTAGGTCTGGACACAAAACAATTTTGTAACTGAAGCACAGGAGTACAACTATTCAATTAACATTACAGTTTGTAAGTGACCAGCTTATTACATCGCTAGGTGATGTGTTATAGATGAAAAAACCTAGAAAAAGCATTAATTCCACGGCTTTAAAAATATTCACATGGAAATTTTCCATAAAAATGCCACATTTGACAGAACCATTTATATTCCAGAAATTACTGAAGTGACTGAAGTTTTTGAGGTTGGTAGTTATATGAATTTTAAGAGTATATACTTATGTTGTTTGATATACCAACCATGCAGTGCAGATATATTCAGGTACAGGAAATCAGACAAACTGATTTATAGAATCACAGCGAGATTATTGAGGAATAGCAAGGGCTGATTGTAGACTTCTGAGTCTGGTCAGCTTAGTTTAGCTTTTTTTTATAATCTGTGTCTATCAACACACATAACAACAGGTACAGGAAATCAGACAAACTGATTTATAGAATCACAGCGAGATTATTGAGGAATAGCAAGGGCTGATTGTAGACTTCTGAGTCTGGCCAGCTTAGTTTAGCTTTTTTTATAATCTGTGTCTATCAATACACATAACAGATTGTACTATTTTCACAGTCAAAGCATATCTTACATTCTAGTTAGACATATGTTAAGATCTCACCTGTGCAGTGATGACTGCCATCACCCAAGAACCTGGCAAATCTACATGTCAGCATTAATGAAAATACATACATGGAGGAATGTTTCTGCTGGTGATGAATGATAGTGGTCTTTGCTGGAATCACATTTAAGTATGCTTCAAGTGAAAAAGAAAATGTATCATAGGATCTATCAAATTACTTAGGTTAGTGACTTGCACAGAATTAATGGATTCCAACTCCTGAAAGTATGCGTGTTCAAACTGTACAACCAGAATTTTTCAGGAGGGTAAGGAGACTAACTTCATGTATTTAGGAGTTATGTTTAATGGTTCTCTTCAGTTCAGATTAAATAGATTGAAAACAAACATGAATATTTATTCTCTTGTTATTCTCTTTCATTGAACAGTCATCACTGTTCGGAAACAAAACTGAACTTAAAAGACCTTGCAGACAATTCTATAATTCCTGAATAACTCCTCTATCAAAGTCAAGTTGGATGGGGCTTTGAGCAAAGCAGTGTACAGGAAGGTATACCTGCTCACATCAGAAGGGCTGGAACCAAATGTCCCTTAGAGTCCCTTCCAACTGAAACCATTCTATGATTTATCCCTGTGATTTTGTCAATTTTATAACGGACGTGTTAAAGAAAACTATCTTTGCATATAATTAACACCATAATTCATAATAATTAATTTTCTTAAATCAACACCAAGAGACTGAAATTGATGCTAAAGTACGAAATAATATAACAAACAATACAATGTAACTTGATGTTTCCTGTGGATGTTTTCCATGTATTTCATGTTTCTATTTTTCCCATCACATCTGTCTTTCAACAGAAAGACACAGGATTCACTGATCAATAGCTGTTGTCAAGCAGAATATAAGAGCTGACTTCTTGTTTTTTCCTCAGCTGGGCAATTAGATGACTTTTCTTTACCTTATCACCATTTCTTAGGACAATAAGGATAATATCACTGTTTTTCATATTCTTACTATCTGAAAATGCTTTGAAAATGGCCATGGGTTCAGAAGTTATTTGATGCTGAGTGTTTGATAGAAAGATACACTGTTCCTGTTTCATAGAAAGTATGAACTTGAAACTCCTTCACTCAGCTCGTAGTCAGAGCTAGGCAGGCAGAAACAAAGCCCTGAGCTCAGCTGCTGCGATTGTTGGGTCCATGTGGTCCATCACCCTGTTTAGGGAAGAGGAACTGCCACCTGTATGTCTAAATGGCAGCTAGCTGACTAAGAACAGCTGCTGTTCTCTAGTGGATTTTCTCAAAAATCCTTAAATTTCTTATTCCCAGACAATTTTTTCATCCTCTGCATCACTGTTATGCTTGATGAGCTCTGTGAATTTTCCTTTCCTTTTCAATACAGTTGTCACCAGAACCAAAGGCTGTGTATGAGTAACAGTCTGACTATAGCCATATATGAACACAGTGACATCTTTCTGCTCCTACTCAGTAATCCCTTTAGCCAAGGGCTGCATTAATCTCCTTAGAAACAAAATGACTGCGTTAGTGCTGTCTTGGGTACTTACAGAAAGTATTTACCTATTTCTAGAATACCGTGCCCTCTGCCATCTATCCCTCTCCAAGGCAGGTATTTATTGCTGTACTAGCAGGCATGACAGCCAAATAAGCCGACAAGCCATCCTTCTAGATCTGTGATGTTTTGGAGCATAAAGATATCATTGTGCTCATATGTGGTTACACAGAGATTTAATATATTGATTGACCTTTAACATTGTAACTTAAATGTTTATAATATATTTATATGAAATGATTGTCAGTTGCAACTTAATTTTAGCATAAGCATTTTCATAGCAAACTTTAAGGCATATATCAAGCTTATATAGGAAATAAGCTAGGTAAATTAAAAGTCAATCACAACCTTTGGTCTTGAACATGAACAAATTCAAGTTTTTAAGTTTGCAAAGGATCATAACACATATATTATGAAGGTATAGATACTATATTTTTAAAAAAAATCAAGTTTCATTCCAGATTAAAAGTGACAAGGGAAAAAGGAGCCCCACACTATGAAGTCATTTAACTTGTCTCTTGCCCAGTTTCTGTAGGATTAGTATCACTGTTGCTTTAGGGTTGGCTCTACTTCAATGAAATTTGTGTGGCCAAGAATACTGGCATATACCTGAACCCCCTTAGCCCTCCTTGGATGGAAAGACATTTATTATGTTTATAAGAGACAAAATTTGAAACTGAAGGATGTAATAGGATCAACTCTTGAGACTGGAAGGCTAGTCAATCATTTTGGAAAACTGGAAAGAATTTTATCCAGTCTTCAATGAAGATAACAATGAAAAAAGTCATGTGGGAAAATAGGTTGTGTCATTCAGCCATGCACTACCTAAAAACATTATCATTTTCTCAGCAGTGACATTTTACATGCTGCACATAATATTTGGAGAGCTAGGAATCTGATTTGGTGTATTTGGAAACATGGTACCATACTGCAATTTAATGCAACAAAGATCCTCCAAAAGAAAAACTGGACCCAAGAGTGTTGGAATCCTTGCCAGGCTGTGATGCAAACGTGAAATGTTTTTACAGGCACTGTAGACTACAGCCAGTATTTGGGGATGAAAATTCACTCTTGTTTTCTGAGAAAGCATGTCTGTTGAAGAGGATTGTATCCTCCTGGCTAGAATACTCACCAGAAGGGAAACCTTGACTCTACAATAACCTCCACTTGTGGCAGCTTGGACCTGCATCATATGACCATGCTCTGAACATCAGCCTGTACAGAACTCTGCTTAGAAACAGTCTCCCTCCCTCCACTGCTGAAGCAACTGTGCAGCAACTGCTGCAACAACTGTGCATGGCACATGAATGCCAGGGGTCTTCTCATTTTGAAAGAAGCATGGATTTTTATTTTTCTTTTTTTCCAGAAATTCACATGTTTTCACCATCGAACAAGATTTTTGGGCAATCCTCCACACAACATTTGGAATATATCCCAATATTGCAAACCAGCTACTGATTCTGGAGCAGTTTTATTTTTGTATGCCCACTCTGGAACAGACCATTCATTTCCCAACAAAAGGATCTCATGCGGAAGCTAGTCCTCAGGAACCTTACTGAGGTCAGGAGGTAATGTGAAAATTTCACTTAATAAGGCTAGACAGAAGCAGCCTCCTGCTGTGCAACCAGAGCCAGAGGCTAGTGTAGGAAATGTTGGCTTTAGACTTCTATCTCAACTGTAATTTGTGTCTAAAACTACTCAACACTGCTGTAAAACATTTGAAATGTTCTTCCTATCTTCTGCCACATTAGTGCTATTAGCTAGATACATGCATACAGACAGACCACTCACAGCTGATGTAAGACGTTAATCCTCTGAGGTTTTTCCACGTCTGTGTGCACGGACAGCTTTGGTTTTACCTCTAACCTTTCTATTTTTGCCCTCAGGACTCCCTCAGACTACTCTGTGTGAGCTAGGGCTGAGTCTCGACACGCTGTTGGTTTAGCTCCACAAGCCAGCCATGCTGGTAACTCCCCAGCTATGAAGGTGATGATTTCTCCTTTAGGTGGAAGGGTACTTGGGTCAGATGAGCCCTCAGAAGCATGTTAGAAACAGCCAGAGGACTCTCCCATCTCTTCTGATACCTAAGTCATAACATTTGAGTTTGAAAATTATTTGCATACTTGAGGAGATGCTCTTGGATTTCCAGTGCTGCTGTTAAAGGGTACAAGGCAGCCCTCCTCGCAGTGTCTTTTAATCACAAAAGAAGCTGAAGTAACAAAATTTCTTTTAAGTTTTACAAATTTCCCTGGGTATTATAGGAACTAGGATAGACTATGTATTTTCATAAACATCAGCCTAAAAAGGAAAACACCACTTTGCAATGAACCATCTGTCAAGGGAAATCCAGATGAGCTAAGCAGATGCAAGAATTCAAATTTTTTCAATATTCATAAAAAAAAGTGGCTATCAAAATGGAATGAAAATATTTAATACTCAGTAAGGAGTATTGCAAGGAGTTCCTAGACGCAAAGAAATGAGAGTAAAATGAGGTACTCAGTTACCAGTAAAAATAAGACAGCTTTTCACAACAAATTCAAAATTACACTGAAGCATATCAGCTAGAGTCAGGAGATGTTAATTTACTATTACTGCCAAAACCATTCAGAAAACATAAGTCAGGACTAGGAAAGCATGTTATTAGTTTAAAGTAGCATGGGTTAAAATAATATACCTTATAGAGTTGTATTTTTCTGCCTTTTTAGACACTGAATTATGCAGACGCAAATTTTAATTTTTTTTTCTGCAATCATGGTTTTTATTTTATGAAAGCTGAAATTCTCATTTATTCACTGTATTCTGGAGATAAGTCTTTAAGATAAAATAATAAAAAAAGGCGAGAAAAAAGAAAAAATAAAAAGAAAAAGAGCAACTGTCTTAAGACTTGTGACAAAATCAGGAGAGCTGGCAACACAGAGCATGTAACTGAAATTCTTCATCTGTACAGAATTTGCTCAAAGCCATCAAGGACAAAGCCACAGAATGGTGGCTTGAAATCCTTGACTCCTTGGAATGTCACTTAGAGCTGCTCCTTTGTGGTACCATTGCTTATTTGAAAAAACAATACTGAATAGTATAATAATATATAAATAATAGTAATTATTTATATCAATCAAAAGTGACTAAAACAGACTAATAAAGAAGAACTAATAAAGAATAAACTTTGCCAGGAAAAGGATGGCAAATGTTATTTCAGCCATGCCTTCTTTCTTCTAGCTACTTGGGAGAAAATGCTTTTCAGTTTCTAAGAATTAGAGCACAGGTCATAGATTTACAGCTTGGATTTATCTATATAGTTAGTACTAAAAGAAATGTTTTTCAGGCCTCAGTATTCATTTCCTGCTTGTCACTCAAAAGAAGTCCTATGATTAAATTTAACATTCTGGATTCTGTGTTTTAAACAGGGCTTAAATAAAGCTGGCTCCCTGTTGTTATCATTGTTCTACCCCCATGTCACCTCCTGCAGTTGCATCCATGTGCACCATTTTAGATTGGATTATATTAATCTTGATTTATATACATATTTATATATATATATATAACTGGTTTTTTTCTTTTCAAATATTCTACACCTTGATTTGAGTAGAATATTCAAGTATCTGCACATCTAGACGGTCACTAGAGCTTGCAAATTATCCAACATGATGCCCTAACCTAAGACAAGAACTGATGGCAAGAACAGATGGTTGAAGCAAAACTTACCCAAAGGGAGGTTCTTGTGCCATGTGTTATGGCTGTTTATTAGATCTCCTAAAGGGTGGTGTAGCACTGAGATAAAACTGGCTCTCAGTAGACAGGATACGTGATGTGCAGTCAAATGGATTGATTTGTCTAGCGAATCTAATAAATGGATCTTGTTAATGCTGAGCAGGGAAAAATTTTCCTCAGCCTTCATTCATTATCTCATCCTCATTAAAAGAATGCCTTCTCACTGGAAAATCAGAAAGGACTCCAGTCCTCTCTGCAGAAGACTACAATGCATAAATATTGGTTTTATTTGTTTGGCCTGTTTTCAAGCAGCAGCATTGCAAGTGATTGCATTTCTGATCACTAATTTGTGTTCTTTGCTCTTGTTTATTCTCTGATTATCCCTGATTATCATCTATCTCCCTGTCTCTCCTACAATGCAAAACTGTTCTTTACTCTTCAATTCCTCTTCTATCACCCATTAATTATATGCCAAGTTTCTGTATCTAATGACACAGCCCAACCTACCATGCCTCAGTCATTTTTCCTACTCCTCTGTGCATCCATTCCACTACTTTTCCTTATACAATGAAATAACAGTATGGCATCTGGGAACTTTGTGGGACTAAGCCCCTCCAAATTTATTCCCTAGTCTTGAAATAAAGGGGAAAAAAAATCTTTTTTGCTATCTCTGAATTCCATACCTGTAATTCACATCAAATATTTGATGCTTAATCTAATTTTTTTTTTCCTTCTGCCCCTTTCTCGTTTTGCTCACTTGGGAGAGAAAAATGTGTTCATCATGTACACATAACATCTCCTACACCTTCTAGTCACTGACTGGCCATCATTTACTTTATCCTGTTCCATAAACCATAATGGCACAAATGGTCTCCCTCAGATATGTACCAGCTCTTCTTTCTTCTTGTTAGCTGGCTGTTCTCTGTCAGCATTCCAGCAGGGCACCTACCTTCAATTTTGAAAAACTTTCTATCCCTCCATCTGTAATTCCTACTAGCCCATTTGTCTTCCCTCAGTCAATAGCAAACAGGTAACTTCTGCACTATTTTTATCTTCTTTTCTGTTTTTTAATCTCATTTCTGCATTCTCTGCTGAAAATTCCTTTTCTGAGGCCTCATTCAGTCTGCCTCAGCTCAGTGCTGGTGTCATTCTTTCCTTGACACATTTTCTTCCCTCAGCTTCAGCTGTCTGCTGAGCTTGTGGCTCACCTGCTAACTCCTGGCCTTATCTTTGTATCATCTCTGAATGCTCCTTTTGTCCCTGGTCTGCAGGAGTTTCTTTTGGCTTGTCCTTGGTTGCCCTCATCTGTCTTATTTCTGTGTGGCGTCATGTGCTGTGACTTTTTATATTAGCAGTTAAAGACCCCTGCCAATTCACACCTGCATTCTTCTGTTATCCATTATTATTCATCTCTTCTCAATGTAGAGAGAGGAGCTATACTCCTTTTGTATAGCTTGAAGGTAAAACCAAAATATTTATCCCTATTTAACCTCCTTCTCTTTTTCATTCCCTACTGTTATTAAAATACTGACTCACAGTATGCGAGGATCAGGTACTTTTTATCTATATGTATCATCCATTTCAATAACTGCAATTCTATTTTATTTGAGGTTATTTAACTGTCTGCTTCTTGTTAGATGAGTGATGAAGTATGGTTATGAGTGGCCTTTGCCAGATGAGAATGACCGAAGTTATGAAAAGATATTAGCATAAATCACAGCAAAGGCATCTGAAAGCATAAGAGATTTGAAGATGAAATAAGCTGCTAATTTCCCTGAGAGAGTAATTTCAGATAAAAGATGTCTGAAGTTACATTATGTATTACTTAATGTCACAAGAAGTTGCTGAAATCCATGAGAAACACCAGGCCTCTCTGATTTGTAAGATACAACTTCCTCATTTCCTGGAGATGGTTATATATGGAGAATATGGATACGGACAGATAAAGAGACAGAAAAAAAATCTGGGACAAACACAAAAAAATACACGTTTAACACCACGGTACCATACATCTATTACGTAGAAGCAGTTCTCTGTGTGACTGTGTCATAGTCTGTAAGATCACCTACCTGTTATATGTATGTGATATTCCTCCTTCAGTATCTTTTGGAAATAAGGTACTTTGAATTGCATGTGTGCTGATGGCAAGCCTGGAAGATTCACTTCAACATCACCCATAAAATGTGGAAACTCCCAGTCCTGTTAAAAAAGAAAAATAAGAGCCTAAAAGTAAGATTTCACAGTATTTTTTTGCCTTTTAAATGGCTTAAATTAATAAAACAGAAATGTTCTATATTTAAGCCTCTATTATTGGATTTTCTTACTTTAAATTTGACTGACCCACTTGAAATAGAATACCTTATTTATATTAGATATTACAATATAATTTTTTACCTCAGTTCCATGTAATTATGGGTATAAAAGTTCACTTCAGAATGACAGTACTGAACACGCCTTACCAGCTGATAGTGCAAAACAGAATAAGGATAAGAATACTTATTTAAAACATGGCAACACTAAGAGTACCTATATAAAAACCTTACTATGCTACTTACTCTTAGTAACTTGTAATTTGGCAAACAGTTTACAGGTACGAAATTGGCAAAGGTGGCCTGAGCCTTTCAAACACCACATATATCTGTATTCTACTTGTTCAACTTACAGGGTGTTTTCTGCATTTTGCCTCCATATAATTAAATAAACAATCACTGCAAGTGCAGGCCCTTCAGCATAATCTGCCTGAATCAACCCAAGCACAGTTTTGTCCACTGCCATATTTCAGCTGACAAGATAATTCTGGAAATGTGGAAGCTCTTGCCTAGCATTATGCAAGTGTTGGTAGTGTGTGGTACCCCAGCTGAGGAAGAGCTGCATTTAAAGGAATTTTTCACTTGGTTATCTGTACTCACCATCAGTCACTTGAAAATGGGTATGATAGCATGGCTCATTAGAGTCCAAACTGAAAGCAATAGTGCTAGAATCAGGATGATTACTGCCAGTGTCAGTACTCTGTGCACTGCGGATTGTTGATGATCTCCTGTTACAAACACGGCCCCTCTTCCCATGCACACTCCTGGATTTGTATACAACAAGCTAGTGCCACAAGCTCCTCAATTACTAAATATAAAATAAAGGAATCCAAAATGTGAAGAACTCCATGAGTGACTTCTGATTCTTTCACATGAAAACCATTCCAGCACAGCTGTCTTCCCGTGAGAACCAATTCCATTATTTCATTTTCAGTTTTGTAAGGATAGAAAGTTTCCTTACAGAGTAATAAAAAATATATATATTCAAAACTAAGAATTATCTACTAAATTGGGAGGAACTGTTGACTGACTCAAAGGCAGAGAAGCCCTGCAGAGTGACTTTGGCAAATCAGAGGGCTGGGCAACCACCAACTGTATGAAGTTTAACCAAGTGCCAAATTGTGCACCTGGGATAAGGCAGCCCTGTCTGTTTCCAACAGACTGGGAAGTGCAACACTGGAAAGCAGTGCTGGAGAAAGGGACCTGAGGGTCCTGGTCGATAGGAAGTTGAATGTGAGTCAGCAGTGCCCTGGCAGCCAGGAGGTCCTGGGTGCATCAGGCACAGCACTGGCAGCCGGGCAAGGGAGGGGATTGTCCTGCTCTGCTCTGCTCCTCACCTCGAGTGGTGGGGGCAGTTTTGGAGGCCATAATACAAGACAGATACAAAGCTATTAGAAAGTGTCCAAAGGAGGACAACAAAGATGGTAAAAGACCTTGAGGGGAAGCCCTGTGAGGAGTGACTGTGGTCATTTGGTCTGTTCAGCTTGCAGAAGACTGAGGGGAAAGATCATTGCAGTTACAACTTCCTCATGAGGGGAAGAGGAGGGGCAGACACTGATCTCTGCTCTGTGGTGATCAGTGACAGAATCCAAGGGAATTATGTGAAACTGTGTCAGGGGAGATTTATGTTATATACTTCAAAAGGTTTCTCCTCAAAGGGTGGCTGAGCATTGGAACAGGCTGACCAGGGAAATGGTCACAGCACCAGCCTGATGAAGTTGAAGAAGTGTTTGGACAATGCTGTTAGGCACATTGTGTGATTCTTGAGGTTGTACAGTGCAGGGCCAGAAGTAGTCCCTTTCAGCTGAGGATATTCTATTCTATATATGACCTCTGAAAGATTGATCACTATATACAAAGTTAACTTCCGAGACTTGCTAAGCTCTCCAACATTTTCTACAATGAAAGGGAAATGGAAGAGTTTTATGATCTGGAAATAGCACAGCCTGATCACTAACAGCTGATTTGTGCTAACTATTTGTTATAATGAGTTAAATGGATCAACAGGAGTGCAAGCAAGGAGAAAATCTGACACCCTTTACCTAGTTCTTAATGTTCACAGAAATGCAGAAAATGCCAATTTACAGATGCAGAAGATAAGAGAAATAAGGATGCTCTCATTTTGCCTTATCATTAATGCAACACATGTACTCCTGGTAACACCTGCCCAGCTGCAGCCCCTTACCCTGCATCTGTAGACATCCTCTTGCAGGGGGCAGGCATTCAAAAAATGCCCAGAGATAAAAATTTTATGCATGCACACTTTCAGTTCACTGTTTCCAATATACATCTCAGGACTGGTGTCTCTTGTCAACTCATACATACTCTCACCCAGCAATAAATACGAAGAAATACATTACATATTCCTGAAAATAAATGAATGGAGAAGTGTGAACTCTGCATTAGTTATAAGTAAACACGGGTCTATAAATCTGGCCTCCTGTTCCTGCCTTGCCCCAAAGCTCCTACTGTGCCTTTTGCTGATTTACAGATAAAATTCCACCATGCAGAATTTTGTACTGGTCTGTGTCTCTGCATCTGAGTTTTTTATTAAAAAGAGTTTTTTCTCATCTGGTTGGAGTACTACCTGATAATACCATTTTCTACACATATGCCCCATACTGCATGAAGCACGCCTGAATTGTATCATGGCCCTTATTACACTGGAGCACTGTAACATGGTGTGGCCATAACTAGAGAGATGGGTGCAGGCTGGTGCTGCAGACCTCACAGCTATAAACAACTCACTGGCATTCAGCTAAAGAAATGCAGATCTGGGCTGGGCAAAACTACTTTTAGGCGTAACACAGAGAACAAAGAAGTATCTCACATAAGACACTACCTGTAAGGCCTGTAAAAATCTGTAACGTGGAGCTTCAGATCAAGGAGGAAACAGCAAGGTCTTAACATGTTATCAAATCTAAAAACAGCCCTAAGCAGCTTTTAGCATGAGAAAAAAGAAACCATCACAATGGGGATCATATCCTTCCCAGAAAAGGACTCCAGATGCCAATGATTGGCCATAATACTTCCACTGAACCCCATCAGACTGAAACTGCCCATTTCAGGAACCACAGGAATCGAGGGAGGGTGGATAAAACATCAGGAAAAGCAATAGACACTTTGAAGACACTGGGAAGTGTGGGCATAAGAATTTTGACACTATTATTATTATTATTATTATTATTACTACTACTACTACTGAAACTTCTTTCTCACAAAAGTATTCTTTTCTGTAATGATTAGATCTCAATTAATAATTAATTGATTACATTGTTTAAATTTAACACTAGTAATAAAATCTTGGCTTTATATGTAAAGGTCCTTCCTCACCCATAAATAAAATTTTAAATGTAACACCTTTATCAAAACATTTATACAGTCTCTTCTTTAAGAACAGTCCCATGAAATTACAGAAATAAAATAATTTTTAAAAACCACCAACAAATAATAAAATGTATTTGAAAGCAATTTTAAGATATGGAAACTAAAATAATGCATTAAACCTACTGACTTCCATGGAAGTCACTACAGATGCAACAGTTAGGAAAATGAAGCTTAAAGTTAGGGATTAAATAGCCTTTGGATCGTCATTTGACTCACAGCTCTGCTAAGTGTGAGTGTCAAATGTCCACAGAGAGACATTATCACCTGCAGATACACCACTGTAGTATTATTACTGTGCCAAAGAAAAGTAGATTATTGTTACATTTTCAGGCTAATGCCAATTTCAGGCTGTCAAATCCAAACCCAACAAAGTGGCCATTTTACTATCTAGATTCCAAGAAAATGTTGTCCAAAATATTTTAAATAAGTTTGTTTTTTTCCCTTACTGATAGCCAAAAGACAATTTCAGCGATATCCAGAAATCCATTTTCCTAAGAAATTCAGGATGCCTTGTAGATATATTCCACCTCACTTGTAACAGCTACATGAATAGACCAAATGTTCGAGCCCCTAAATGCAAGCACTTCCCACTGTGGAACATAGCTCAGGCCTGCCTCATGTCCCCTACACAGTGTTTTCTCTCTGTGGCCTCTCTCAGTCTGTGCTCACCCCTGGAATATGAGTGGCATGTGTTATATTCTTAAAATTTTCAGCTCGTAATTATGCAAAGTTCACTTGATTAGCTTTAGTCCTCATTGCTGAGGTGCCTGTACTCTGCCATTTGTGGGATCTCATTAGGAACTGGGCCCAAAATACCATATTTAGAATGCATTGCAGAATTGGAAAAATAAAGGTGTACAAACATACTGTTAGCTCACATCTGTACCTTTCACACTGCACGTACAGATTGCTTCTCCTTTAAATCCATCAGCATCAGATTTCTAATATTCATTGACTTCAGTGGTTCCCAGCCTGGGGGATGGGACTGCAGCACACATCCACTCCGTGTGTGGAGACAGAGCCAACCCAGAGCCAGCAGCCTTAAATCAGCCGCACAGAGGTCTCTAACCTCAGCAGAAAGTTTTGTGGCATGTGCAAATCAAATAAGGTTATTGCCTCATTTCACTCTAGTCACTGAGGAAAGGGCAGCCAGAGGATGAATTTAAGATCACTGAGGGCCTCGTCCTGGTGCAGCAATGGGCAGAGCGTACCTCTGATTTCCATCAGCTGCCTCATTAAACGCAGAAGCACAGAAAAAAACCTGAGGAGATCATGGTATTTTGATTCTCTTTGCTTTGGTTCTAGCTACCCAGGCCAAATAGATGCACATACTCTCTGCTGCAATGCCAGGTGTTAGTTTAAGACCCTACAGTGCAGCTTGCAGTTTGGTACCTCTTTAAGTAAAGATATTTTTAGCAATGGTAACTAAGCATCAAAGTCAGAATTTCTGATATGATCTGGCCATTTTTTGCCATTATCTGAGGAAAAGAGAAGGCATTTCCT